GAGTTAATTGAAGCATTGTGGATTTTTAGCTCTTATTGTGTAGATCTACTATAAACATTAATTTTACAGATCAAGAAAGCATTGAGAGGAGTGAAGGTAGAGGTTACCCATCGAGGAAGTATGCGCAGGAAATACCGAATTTCTGGTTTGACCTCGCGGGTGACGCAAGAGCTAATGTAAGGATCACATGTTACGGTTATTGGTCAGCCTAACCTTTTGGTTCGATATAGTATAATTGATTAAAATGGAACTTTAATTATCAAGGTCTCCTTAAGGACCTGTAGCTTGGCTTCTTGATTGATCCTGTGAACTTTCCAGTATTTGTTGATTTTCCTTGGGGAATGATTTCTCACAGCATCTGTTTTCGTTATTGAAACTAATAAAGTTTCTTGTATTGTTTGATAGTTGTCTGTGTACTTGTGCCTGAAATTGTATTCTCGTGCTAGATTTCCGGTTGATGAAAGGGGCACAATGAAATCCGTTGTTGAATACTTTCGAGAGACTTATGAGTATGTCATTCAATACACTCAGTTGCCTTGTCTACAAGTTGGAAATCCACAGAGGCCAAATTATTTGCCAATGGAGGTCAGTCTTTGAACCTATAACCACGGAGTTTAGTTTCTTTAGATTTGGATATTAAAACAATTGTTTGATAATCCAGGTATGCAAGATTGTGGAGGGGCAGAGGTATTCTAAGAGGTTGAATGATAAGCAGATTACTGCGCTTCTGAGCGTCACATGTCAGCATCCCAAGGAGAGAGAGCGTGATATTCTTCAGGTTGGTCCTGCAGCAGTTTTTTGAACCTGAGAATATACTGCATTAAAATTGCAACCTTCCATGCTCTTTGTGGCTATTATGATTTGATCCAAGGGATGCCTGTGCGATATTTTATTTTATGAATTCTTTTGCAAGGTTCATGAGGCATTAAATGAACTGATGGGGAAAAGAATGAAGGGTTATTTAGACATTTTTCTTACATCATATTTGATGCTGCTTGATATTAATGGCTGGTTCTTGTATATTTAGCCCTTGTTTGAGCCCCATTTTGTGGAAAAAATGTATTTTGGAATAGTATTTTTTTGGAGAATATGTGGTTAAAGAATAAGAAAAAGTTTTCGATTTATGTGTAAACTTATTTTATTGGAGAATGTGTGGATGGAAATGAGTTTTGGGAAAAATGAGTTTTTGATGGTGTATAATGATTCATTGGATGCAAGGTAGTTTTGTACTCCAACTATGATTTTGGTTTATGCTACATTAATTTGTTAGTATGTTTCATTTGAAAGAGTGCTATGATTTTGCTTTATGCTACATTAATTTGTTAGTTTCTTTCATTTGAAGGAGTGAAGCATTAATATTAAGCCTTTCTTGATTTCTGGGGAGAGCGTGTGAATTATGCACACCTTGTAAAATATAAATTCTTTTCTTTTTTGCAAATTTTGTTGCCTTTGGTATATGAATGATGCATTTTGTTGTTAAGGGTGCTCCAAGTGCTTTAACACCCTATTTTTTCATCTCAGACTGTACATCATAATGCTTATTCCGAGGACCCTTATGCTAAAGAGTTTGGAATTAATATTAGTCCGAAGCTGGCTCAAGTTGAGGCTCGCATTCTGCCTGCTCCCCGGGTACTTAACTTTGATCACTGCTTTGCTGTATATATGTTGGCTTAGATTTTCTTAGTCCTCCTGATGGTAAATTGTTTCACAAGTTTGGTTTTGTTATTACAGCTTAGATATCATGATTCTAGTCGGGACAGGGACTGTTTGCCACAAGTTGGGCAGTGGAACATGATGAACAGGGTAATTGCAATTTTAAAGTTCTAATTTATTCTGTCATCTATGCTAAAATGAACCAGTACTCATGCATAGTTATCTTGTGATGTTTATTTTGCACGTTGCTCCAAACATTATAGCTATCACCTTGCAATGTTGTTCAAATTGCTGCAAAAAAATATTTACTATTTGATCTTGCAGAGGATGGTTAATGGAGGCATTGTCAACAGTTGGATCTGCATTAACTTTGCCCGCAATGTGCAAGACAATGTCGCAAGAAGCTTTTGTCATGACCTTGCTCAAATGTGTATTACTTCTGGCATGGTAAAGGCATTTGAATTTTTAACATTTTTAATACTTAAAAATGTGCATTGTGTGATCTTTATATTTCGTCACAGGACTTCAATCCTGTACCCGTTCTACCAATTTTAAGCGGCCGGCCAGATCAGGTGGAAAGAGTCTTGACAGCTAGATATCATGATGTCATGACAAAACTGCAGCCCCATGGGAAGGATCTTGACATACTAATCGTTATATTACCAGACAATAATGGCCCTCTTTATGGTAAGAAACTAATGATTATCAAAATAACAGGCCTTTTCTATTTTCAGGCACCATGCACGTATTGATGTTTGCTTGGTTTTGTGATAAAATGCATATTTGATTTTGTACAGGTGATCTGAAAAGAATATGCGAGACCGATCTTGGTATTGTCTCACAATGCTGTCTGCAAAAGAATGTGTACAAGGCGAACAATCAACAATATCTTGCTAATGTAGCACTGAAGATAAATGTGAAGGTTGGAGGGAGAAACACAGTGCTGGTCGACGCACTCACTAGGCGTATCCCTCTTGTCAGTGACCGACCTACGATTATTTTTGGGGCTGATGTTACGCATCCCCAACCCGGCGAGGATTCTAGCCCTTCCATTGCTGCTGTAAGATTCTCACTTGACAGCTTTAAGATGCTGCCTTCCTCAGATATTGGGTTTCATCTTTCTGTCGAGGTCCACTTACTGTTGATATAATTTCATTGCAGGTTGTTGCTTCCCAGGACTGGCCAGAGGTCACGAAATATGCTGGGTTGGTTTGTGCTCAAGCTCATAGGCAAGAGCTCATCCAAGACTTGTTTAAAACCTGGCAAGACCCTGTTAGAGGAACTGTGACCGGTGGCATGATCAAGTGTGACTTCTATCACTTCCACATGCCAATAGAAATTCTTTTACTCCACCCCTTCCCACTCATGTATACGAGAAATAAGTGATATATCATTTATGCCTATTTGGATCATAATTTCATGGTTAGTGGACATGTTTTTGTGGTTCTGCAATTTAGGGAACTCCTCATTTCTTTCCGTAGAGCAACTGGACACAAACCACAGCGGATTATTTTCTATAGGTAATGTCAATTATCAATTTAAATTATTTACGCATTTTATTTGCTATTCCTTCCATCATTTGTAGCCTCACTATACTCAACTGTCTACAGGGATGGTGTCAGTGAAGGGCAGTTCTATCAAGTTCTGCTTTTTGAACTTGATGCCATCCGTAAGGTACTGCCTCTTTAATTTCTTGGAGCGTTGTTTAGGTTATCAATTTAGGAATTGATTTATGATTGGAGTTCTATGAAACGGTCATCTAATTCCTACTTTTTGGTTGCTCCTTGTTTTTAATCTAATTTAGGCTTGTGCATCTTTGGAACCGAACTATCAGCCCCTAGTTACATTTGTTGTAGTTCAGAAACGTCATCATACAAGATTGTTTGCCGATGACCATAACGATAGACGTGCTGTTAACAAAAGTGGAAATATACTGCCTGGTATGGAGTTCAATTGTTTCCACTCTGCTATATGTTATGCATTAGATTATATTTTTAAAATATGATTCATCTCAAATACGAATATTTTCAGGTACCGTCGTAGATTCAAAGATATGTCATCCTACTGAATTTGATTTCTACCTCTGCAGCCATGCTGGGGTGAAGGTAAAACTGCACTTCCTTTTAGTTTATAATTTGTTACTACATCATTAATATGTTGCTTAATTTGATTCAATCTTACAGGGTACCAGCCGGCCAGCACATTATCATGTTCTTTGGGATGAAAATAAGTTCACAGCCGACGCCCTCCAGTCCCTCACAAATAACCTATGCTACACGTAAGTGCCTGCTCTGCACTTGTGATATTTTTAGGTACGATGACTTTCTTATTGGTTTCATTTCGACTTGTAGGTACGCAAGGTGCACCCGCTCTGTTTCCATTGGTACTCTTCTTTTTCATATGATTTTTCCTACTACTATGAGAAAATTGCACTTTGGTTCACAGTTTATTGCCCTATTAGCAAGTTGGTCACCAAACTTTCATGACAGTTCCACCATCAGTCTCCAATGCCAGAAATGTCTAAATGTCCTCTAAAGTGACCCTTGCATGTCCAACTTCATGAAACTAGATTCTTTTTGTCAACTTAGGTTGGTGTTGAGAAATTTGAAGTGCCACATATTAAAATGACGTCCACGTGACGACTAAATGGAGATTTGGATGGTTTCAGAATTTGGGGACTGCGCGCAATAAAATGAGAGGTTGAGGACCAATTTGTTTCTTTTAATCGGGCAATATGTTAGAGACCAATGATGCAATTTTCCTTGTTTTGATTGCTATTGGCTATATAGCATGAACTTGATAAGGTCACTGAGAAAGTTATGTAAGCTGTTAATAAATGTTTTACATCTTCCGGCAGTGCCACCAGCATACTATGCACATCTGGCTGCATTTCGGGCTCGTTTCTACATGGAGCCTGATACATCCGACAGTGGGTCAATGACCGGTGGTGCAGCTGGTGGCCGTGGAGTGGGTGGTAGTGCTAGAAGTGCAAGGGTTGCAGGAGCCAATGCTGCTGTGAGGCCTCTACCGCAGCTCAGGGAAAACGTGAAAAGGGTAATGTTTTATTGTTAAAGTTGTCGACAGGGTCGGTAGAATTGAATGGCTTGAATAAGGTTATTATCGTGTTGAGATCATAGTCTGAACTTCATCACTGGGTTTAAAAAGCTGTAATAAGTTAAAGATGGGTGCTTTTAAATTCTTGTGGGCATTTGGACCATATTATCCTTTTCAGTATTGTCATTCTTAATTTTCTATATTACCCGGTTCTTCTTTTTGTCTGAATAATTCATTGAGAAAAATAATTTTTTTTTAGTATCACGTTTATCGACTTTGATTATAATCTGGTTACTAAATCTTGCAACTACTAAAATAATCTTAAGGGAATTTGAATATCTTGATGACCTTCTCTAATGAACTCGGTAAAATAGCCTTGTAACTTAGGGAGAAGGCTTGCTTCCTCGCAAAGTGGTTGCAATGACCTACCAACAACGTAGGTCTTTGCAAGGTTGTAAGACCGTGTATGGAGGTCGATGTCTTATTAGTGTCGGGAGGTTAAGGATGTTGGTAACAAGATGATGGAGGAATTGGCAATCGAATTTTGAGTTTAATTAGTTGATTATTAATGAACAAAGAAAAATGACATGATATCTTTAACATGTGCATGCATCGAGCAATTAATTCAAGTGTACAACAAGCATCTCCAACATATAGAATCAATACGATTAACAAAGAAAATAAAATCCTTTTTGTTACGTCCAATATATGGTCAACATAGTATCAAGGTAAGGGTTCAAGTTTCACTTTTTCTCTCAAATTTATTATTAAAATATGAGTTTGGTCCAACATGAGAAGTGTGTCAAAATAAGATTTAAGCAACTTCGCCGAAGCCAGCAAACAAATGCAAGCAAAGAATAAATTACAATGGAGGTTTTCATCTCTAAAAGTAGTTTTTAACTTTCAAAATTGTCAAAAACGATGAAAATCTGGGATTTACTCAAAAGATAAATGAATTCTTTTTCTTAGTTTCAATCAGCCTCAAGGAATGTCTTTTCTTCCTCCAAATGGGTATTCAGCCTCCAAAGATATTCCATTTTCACGTGCATGCTTAAATTATTTCTCCTATATAAAGAAGGAGACCCCATTTCATGTTCAAGACAAAAACAAATTTTAATCTGCAAAATCCACACTTTGAGCATTTTTATGGCTTCTTTGATAGTGGATAGCATGCCAGATGCCTTGAGGCAGAGCCGATACCACATGAAGAGATGTTTTGCCAGGTACGCAGTATTAAATAAGATTTGATAACATGTTCAGTACGCTATGCTGGAAATGCAATAATCAATAAATGAGTTTTAACTTGCAATATCCTAGCTGGTGTCTTATGTTGGCAATTGAAATTTGATTTAATGAAATGAAAAATTAAATATGAAGGTTCACTGGAATGGGAAGAAGGCTAATGAAATCCCAGCATTTAAAGGAAGAGATAGAGAAAACAATTGAGGACAAGCTTGAGCGATCCAAGATTTTGGGAGGTACCATTGGTGATATCTTCAATTCAACACAGGTCAATTCCAAACAGTCGTTCAATAAAATTTTAGCTTTTTCCCCCTTAATACTGTTGAGTACTGTTTCTCCTAACGAACATGCCATTTGGGTGTGTGCACAAATTTGCAGGAGGCAGTTGTGGTACCACCTTATGTTGCTTTTGCAATGAGACACAATCCTGGGGTTTGGGACTATGCTAAGGTGAATGCAGAGAATCTATCTGTTGATATCATCACAGGCGAAGAATATTTGAAATTCAAAGAAATGATCATTGATGAGAACTGGTGAGCTGAAATTATATGAAATACTTGTCTTGAAAATGATAAGATTCTGCTGGTAATGTGGTTTCCTGAACAAGCAGGGCTAAGGATGACAATGCACTGGAAATAGATTTTGGAGCATTCGACATTTCCATTCCTCGTCTATCCCTTTCTTCGACCATTGGAAATGGGATGACCTATATCTCGAAATTCATGACAACGAAATTCAGTGAGAATCCTGAGAGCGCGAAGACTTTGGTCGAGTACTTGCTTGCTCTCAAGCATCAGGGAGAGGTAAGCAAATGGGAAACAAGAAAAAAAATCTGGTAAAGACACGATCTGTAATGCAATCTGGCCTAAATGTCCTAACATTTTTTTGTCCAATTTACAGAAATTAATGATTAACGAGACTCTCAATACGATAACAAAGCTTAAAGAAGCGCTGATAATTGCTGAAATTTATGTCTCTGCTCAACCGAAGGACACGCCTTATCAAAATTTTGAGTCAAAGTAACCTTTCATACTCAGTCAAAAATATTTGTGAAAAATTTAATAGAAACAACATTTTCTCGTTATGTCTCAACTGACTTTGAACTTCCAGGCTTAACGAATGGGGCTTTGAGAAAGGGTGGGGCGATAATGCGGAAAGAGTAAGAGAGACAATGAGGATACTTTCCGAGGTACTTCAAGCACCGGATCCTACAAATGTAGAAGTTTTTTTGGGCAGGCTTCCTGTCACATTCAACATTGTTATCTTCTCTGTTCATGGCTATTTTGGCCAGTCAGATGTCCTCGGATTGCCTGACACTGGAGGCCAGGTGCAGCCAAACACGACCCAATTATTCTTTAACTAAATACTTAGATTGTCATTAGCATCATTCTAGGAAAGTTTAGGACTTAAGGATTTTGTTAAATTGAGCAGGTGGTTTACATTCTAGATCAAGTGAAAGCTTTAGAGGAAGAACTTTTATCAAGAATTAAGCAGCAAGGCTTAAATGTGAAGCCCCAGATTATAGTGGTGAGGATATTAAAAGAATTCACATATATCCCTTTAAATCAAGAGAGGAACACAAGAGAGATGCAGTTAACTTCTTTCCATCTTACTTGCACAGGTGACTCGTCTCATACCAGATGCGCAAGGGACGAAATGCAATCAAGAGATCGAGCCTATTATTAACACCTCACATTCTTACATCCTCAGGATCCCATTTAGGACAGAGAAGGGGATTCTCCGCCAATGGCTTTCTCGATTTGATGTCTACCCTTATTTGGAGAGGTTTTCCCAGGCGAGTACTATCTTCGTTTTTAAACATGACTTCACAACTTTCTATTTAACGAGTTTCTCAAACATCTTTTGGCAAATCAACTCTCTGTATATTTCTTAAATCACTAGGACTCTAGTGCAAAGATAGTTGAGCTAATGGAAGGTAAACCAGACCTCATACTTGGGAATTATACCGATGGAAATATTGTGGCATCTTTAGTGGCTAGCAGACTTGGAGTAACTCTGGTATCACTACTTAGCATGAAATTGTCTTAATGTAATACTTCATTCTTCAATCTTCCTTGAGACTTAAGAAAATCTATAATCGGGACGTTTTGATTTTAGGGAACCATTGCTCATGCTTTGGAGAAAACTAAATACGAAGATTCAGATATGAGATGGAAGGAATTGGACCCCAAATACCACTTCTCATGCCAATTTACAGCTGATTTAATTGCAATGAATACTGCTGATTTTATAGTTACCAGCACATATCAAGAAATTGCGGGAAGGTTGGTCTGTTGGATGCAAGTAATCTTCAGCTTTTGCACGAATTGAACGTTATTTCTTTGTAATTTTTCCCTTTTCAGCAAGAACCGACCTGGACAATACGAAAGCCATGTCGAATTCACTATGCCAGGGCTCCATAGAGTAGTTTCAGGCATCAATGCATTTGATCCGAAGTTTAATATCGCTTCACCGGGAGCAGATCAGTCCATCTACTTCCCGTTCACGGAGAAACATAACCGACTTACCACGTTTCAACCTGCCATTGAGGAACTATTGTACAGTAAGGAGGATAATGACGAGCACATGTAAGTTCTTCAAATTCAACTTGATCCGCCACCTTCATTTTCTATGCGCATATCCTCTAAATTTTTGAATAACGACATACTTTTGGGAACAGTGGATTTCTTGCAGATCAAAAGAAACCAATTATCTTTTCAATGGCAAGACTTGATACAGTGAAGAATATTACAGGGTTGACTGAGTGGTATGGGAAGAATAAAAAGCTTAGGAGTTTGGTAAACCTCGTTATTGTTGGTGGATTCTTCGATCCATCCAAATCGAAGGACAGGGAAGAAATGGCTGAAATCAAGAAAATGCATGCTTTAATTGAAAACTACGAACTTAAAGGCCTAATACGATGGATAGCCGCTCAAACTGATAGATATCGTAATGGTGAACTGTACCGGAGCATTGCTGACACGAGGGGGGCTTTTGTGCAGCCTGCATTATATGAAGCTTTTGGTCTAACCGTTATTGAAGCAATGAACTGTGGATTACCCACATTTGCAACCAATCAAGGGGGACCAGCAGAAATCATCGTTGATGGTGTCTCAGGATTTCTCATCGATCCTAACAATGGTGACGAATCAAGTAACAAGATTGCTGATTTCTTTGAGAAATGTAACGGAGATCCTAAATATTGGCATAGGATGTCTCAAGGAGGTCTCAAGCGCATATACGAATGGTAACATCTGATCCTCCATTCTTAATGAATGTTTGGTAAGTAGTATTGGACAGACCACCAGAATTTCTCTGAATCACAACGTTTGTTCACTTGCAGCTATACATGGAAGATATATGCAACCAAAGTCCTGAATATGGGGTCAGCTTACGGCGTCTGGAGGCAGTTAAACAAAATGCAGAAGCAAGCTAAACAAAGATACATTGATATGTTGTACAATCTTCACTTCAGGAAATTGGTGAGTTCAACGAATTATATTACTTATGAAATGAAAAATGTAGCCGGATAAGTAAATTTCTAATCTATGTATGTTGTATGATGTTTTAGGCCAACAATGTAGCCACCCCTCTTAAAGAAAGACAGCCATCTACCCCAACGGACACTAGTGAATCCCAACAACCAGCACTGCAAAAACCAGCGCCAGCGCCAGCGCCAGTACCAGCACCAGCACCAGCACCACCAAAACCTCCACGGACTCAAAGGCATGTTCTCTTAGTGTACTCTCTTCAATTCTGGATTCGATTTTGCAAATGAAACTGATTTGTGTCAAATAACAGGCCTAAACCCGGAGGGGAGATTGACTCTACGTCGTGTGCTTGTCCCTGGTGGTTGTGTTTATGCGTCTCTTCTTGTATCATCATTTATGCTGCGCTGAAGCTGTATGGTTCACACGACTGACTTCGTAAAATCATGACTACATTCCTATGTTAATGAATATGCCAATATTCATCGGTTTGTACGAATATCAATTCAGTAAATGAAATAATGACATGTTGATCCTTCCCTTGTGTTTTTCTCACTACTGTTGCTAAACTAGTTAGTAATTAAACTATTATAGGAATAATCAAACGAGAGAGATGAAAAATATGAGAAAATCACGAAGAACATCGAATTATTTCCATATCGTTAACAGTTCAAAATGTTACAATCCTGTTTCTTAAAAATCTTTATCGAGTTGACAAGTAATAATATTTTTGTGTGAACAAATAATAATAAAAAATTAATTTTAATGATTAATCATTTTTAATTAACTGGAAAGACAACCCTATGTCTTGTTATTACATATTTGACTAAAATCAAATTTCAAATTTCAAAAAGAATCATTTATGGTAGAAAATATTTATTTAAAATTCACTTATAAGAAATCTTTTAGAAATTGCCAAACACCAGATCCTTTGTACCCACCGTTGACGCTACCACCATTGCTGCCACTGCCTACTTCGAGAGCATAAATACTTACCTTGTTCACCCTAATTGTCCCAAACCCGCCGCCGCGGCTTCATAAAACTTACTCGAGAGGATGTCGGTATCCGCCGCCGTAGAAAGAACGCTGTTCAAAGACAAAAATGGCGGAGCAACGCATTTCTCAATCATCAAACACCGTTTCTTAAGCTGCTTAATCTGGCAAGCACTTCATTCCACTCTTTTACTTTTTCTCTCCAAAACCCTTTTCCTTTCCCCCTTTACTCGATCCCCTTATACTCCCAATTTCCTTTCCCTCTTCTATTTTCTTTCCTTCCACTTCTCTCTTCTCCTCTTCGCAATTTCCGTCTTCTTCCTCTCTTCCCCGAACCCACATCCCTCCGCTTCTCCATTCGACCTCCTCCTCAGCTTGGCTCGGCTTCTTTTCATTTCCAGGGGCTCGGCTGAGCCGGAACTAAGGAGAAAAATTCGGGTGTCACTGAGCTATGTTCTGTTTGTGAGCTTGTGCGCTGAGGCGGGGGCAGTTTCCTTAATTTGCGTGTGCTGGGGTTGTGACGTTTACAACGTAGAATCGAGGTCTAGATGGTATTTTGTTTATGGAAAGTTGGGGTTCAGAGGTTTTGTGGTGGGATTTTTCTATGGGTTGCACTATGTGTGTAAGCAGCGCTGGCTCTTGCGGTTTCCGATTATTCAGGTAACTATGCTTTTGATTTACGGGCATAACAGTTGATTTGAAGTATAGCACCGGTCTTACTAGATATATAATGTTGAATCAAAAAGGGCGTTCTATTGTGATGAAATTGTGAAGAAAAAAATGATAAATATTATGAACTTTTATCTCAATAATGAAATTACAAGTTTAGTAACCATATATTATCAAAGTAACCTTTATCTCAATAATAGATGTATAAGGTTGAATAATGCCTGCTAACAAAAGATAAATTTGAAGGGGTATTTATATAGAATTGTATTTCATCAGGTAAGAGTTAAGAATATATTTCCATCTATTATGTTTTATGGAAATGAATGAAATTATATACATTCTCTCATATGATGTATCCATAGTTCCGGTTTAGAATCTGTAATGTAATGTTTTGATTGTAGATGTTTAGTAACCATCTATCATCAAAATAATCTTTAGCATCTGCATCTTATGTTTAGCTTTTAGTCTATTGGCAATACTTTTTTAATCTTTCCATGAATTTGTTTGATTTCCCAATCACATGTAAAAGGAAAGGAGGGGAGGGGAGGGGAGGGGAGGATTGAATACATGCCTGTTTGTCGAATAAAATTCTATAGGATGTTCTGTGTGCGAAACCCTTCCAGTTGTAAAAGGCTAATGCTGTTCAATTTTCATTTTATTTGTTTTCCTGTGGTTTTGTATGGTTACAGAAGCAAAACCAGTCCTATGGGATCTCCCTTCAAAATTTATTTTGTAATGCTTGAACTGAAGATAGATTCACAAAGCCTATGTTTGGCTCATGTTAATATACTGTTTATAAACACCCAAGCCACTTTTAGCCACACTTTACAAGGGACCCACTAGATCAACTAACTATCCACCACTTATTTCTATCTATTTATAATTTAAACCGCTTATATACATTTCCCAAACATACTCTAAGATTATTTTGTCTTGCTAAGAAGATTTTGATTTACTATATCATCAAGAACTGCAATTTCATTTCATGTGATTTACTTTCTAGTAAGTAATAACATATCTGTTACATCATATCTACTGTCGACAGCGTCCTCCTTTCTTCAGCTTCAAGATAGGTCTTCCCTTAGCTGTTGGGCAAGCTTTAAAGTTTTCAGCTGCTGGTTACCTGTTATCAGGCGTGCTAGCTTTTTTCCTACCTAACGGATATACAAGTCAGGATACAACAGGAAAGTTCATCAGCGAGCAGATTATCTTCTACATTGGAAGCTTTGTAGCGATTCTTTGTTGGGAATTAAGTCATCATTTACATCAGGTTTCTTCCTTAGTCGACTTGTTTTGTTAAAATCTTTTTGCCTTGAAACTTTTGAATTTTATTTATTTATTTATTTATTTTCCATTGTAGCCTAGGAAAACATCTCAAGTTGTGATCCCATTGTGACTCCATTTATTTGCATGCGTAAATAATATCTCACTATTTAGGTGATACACACGAAGAGGTTTGTATTTGCACCCCCAAAAGGCTCAGCTGCGGCAGAAACAAATCCAAGTGAACTGCTTCTTGACACTCTTGAGGAGAGCACACCAAAATCTCTTTTGCATCATCTTGCTTATCTTGATCTATGTATGTTATGTGAAAGTAATGTTGATACATGGCGCCGAGCGGCATTCTTTGAAGAGACTGGCACTACTTATAAAAGAGTTATAGCTGTATGCCTGAGGCCTCTGGAACAGCTAACTCTAAAGCTAAATGAAAGTCTAGATAGTTCTTCAATTGAGAACTCCTTCCAGCTGTCCAGCCAGTTACATACACCCGCAATGGGACCTGAATATTCTAAAGTCTGTGAATCATTTTACGACATACAGGTAGAATCTTAATACTAATATTGTCATGTTGATTTGTTCAAGAAATGAAAACTTGTTCATATGATTCTCTGTTTATATTTCAGGGAATTGATATTTACTATGTTTTATGCTGAGTAATATCTATAAAATTTGTGGACAAATCTTATCTTCACATTTGTTTGAGATTCTCTATTCTTTTATATGCAAGTAACTCGCATGCTAGAAATATGATGTGTTCTTTCGACTGCTTACTAATGTACATGCATTATGTTTCTAACTGAACATTCTCCATTTTTCAGTTATTTTATTTCTTTCGTGATTTCAATTTCTCATCACATTTTTTAAAAATAATTATGTACTCAGAACCTAGCGTTAATTTTATCTACTTCACAACATGTTCATTATGTCTGTCAAATGAAAATAGTTTCTGCTCAGTTTTTTCATTTTGGTTTCATTTCTCTTATCTGTAATGCAGATACATTTAGACCATAAGGTTGTCACTGTTTGGTAACTTGTAGACGTCGAGGGAAAATTATCAAATTAGTGAATTTGGATTCTTAAACAATCGTCACAGAGTGATGTAGAGGAACATGTTAATAGTTTGTGATGATATATGTAAAACTAAAAGAGACAAATACCCTATGTCTAGAATATGAGAAAAGAAACTACTTTTTTCTGTTATTGGGAAGTTCTTAAGGTTGCGTTGAGTGTTAACTACACGCTTCAGTTTTACTATTCTTTGAAATACTTGGGATATACATTTTTGCTTTCAGTCCTGAACTCAGAGGTTATGTTCTCAGACTTGAGAAAGACAAAAATAATATGCCGTTTACTCTGCTTTACTGTGTTGTAAACTTCTAGATAGATTGCACCACCTGGGAATAAAGAATAATCACAGCTAACTGTTGCTTCACTATGTTCCAGCTATGTACCTGGTGTGCCCGGATTGTTTCATCGTTGACTGCACGTTCACACAAGGAGGACAGATTTGGGATTGCTCAACTCTCTGGAAGTAATGGTGCTGTTATCTCCTCCTTATTATCTTGTTTGCTGGCTGTTGAAACCCTCATGGGAAAGAAGACCCACTTACAGTCCCCACGTCAGCTGATGGGTCCTGCTGAAATTAGATGGGCAACAGTAAGCACACAGAGAACAGACTCTACCATAGGTGCCACAGGAAAAAGAAGGGAGAGCCCTTTTTATGCCAAAGCATATGGAATCGCTGATATTTTGCGGACTTCAATGTACTGCGTTGTATCTGCCTTCCATGATGAGATGCTCAACAGTTCAAAAGCAGGACATCTTGAGAAGGATTGGGTCATTAGTGGTAAGCCTCTCTATGGAACCCGTGAGCTCCTTTTACAGAAATTGCTTCTTTTCTTGGATTACCAAGCTTAGCCTGTGGCTCAATTAATGATGATTATCCTCTCATTCCATGTGGATACAAATTTTGAATTGTAACTTTTCGGGATTCTTGCAATGAGTTAATTTGAGGGTTTAAAAAAAAAAAGAGAGAGAGAGAGAGGCAGGCAGTATACCGTGTAATCCATTTCTCTTGAATACTCACCAAAAGTTCCATCGATCTGTGATTATATGGTATAATTTCAGAATGTTAACCAAGCTTTTGTTTTTGGCCATGGACATTTCGTAATTTCTTGGAAGTATATACTAGTATTATTGCACTCTTTATTGTGGGAAAATGAGTGTCTTAGCAGCCGGCAGGTCATTCTCAAGATTGAGGTACTTGGTAGATATTGTTATTGCTCAAAAACCTGCATGTGTTCTAAGGGCTTCTTCTATTCATTTACATATCAATCAAAGTCTCTTGCTTTTTTCTCTTTCATTTGTCAATGGGTTTTCTCGTTAAATGAGATTTTTCGAGAAAACATGTGGTCATTTGTATTGTTGATTTGTTCTCCACCCTCCCCAGTGCACGATTTTTAATTGACCGCTATAAATGTGGATAAATCCATCAAGTGTCAAGTTAGGCTGCAGTGATCCCTTGTTCTCATAGTCTTTTTCATAATATTTTGATTTAAGTGGTGAACACGTATTGCTATTGCCAAGGCATATATGTAGGTTATTGTACATCATCATGCATTCTACAAACCGCCACCAAATAATAAATCTTAAGGTGTCCCCTGAAAAGGGCAAAAATTCTTATTCTTGTGGAAGGGATGGAAGTAGGAGAAATTGATGTCAAGTCCATGCTGAGTCAGTTTTTATCCGAGCAAAAGGGCAACAAGTGGAATTGTTGTTTGTTTTTATATTCTTTCTTTTTTTTATCGGTACATGTAAATTTCATTGATCAAAAATTCATGTACAATTACACCGGGCAAATCAAAAGTCAAAAGATTTACAAACGACAAAGATCTATCAACACAACAAAAAATGAACCAAAATATTAGGATACAAAGAATACATGATTTTGTATATACGTGTTTTAATCCGTTTTGCTATGCTATGCTATGCACATGTGGCGTAAGATGTTCAAAAAAATTTCTATTTCGAGTCATCCATATGTAGTAAGTTGTACTTGCAAGAGCAATTTTCTTCACTTTACTATGTCAAGATGTCCTCTTTTTTATCCACTTCAATGCGTTACCAATCGTAATCGTTGATCTAGTAATGCCAAGCCATAATCTTTTCTGTGTCCAAATGGAGGAGCTCAATGAACATTGAAAGAAAAAGTGTTGAACCGTTTCAGTAGACGATTCATATAGATCACAAGTTCCATTAATATTAAGTTGCACCAACTTGTCTTTTGTTAGGATCTTAGCTTGAGCACTTAGCCATAGGATAAACAAGTGCTTTGGAGTGATAAAGGATTTCCACACATCAACAGCCCATGTTTTCCGTTCACCTTTAAGTTTGAAATGCTCATACGCGAGGAGACTTTAAAAACTGTCTAGAAATCCAAATTTGCAATCTATCTATTTTATCTTGTTCGTTCCCGATGGCCTGCATCGAGACGTCCCTCGTTTCCAGTAGTTTTTTGATAAGTGGAGAGTCATCTTTCTTGGCTATCTTCTCCCAAACAAATGCACCATGTAGGTAGACATGGTTAACCCATCTAACCCACAGTGTATCCTTTTTTTCATGAATGTTCCGTAGGGATTTTGCAAGCAATGCTGAATTCCAGCATTTTATGTCTCTAAAACCAAGTCCCCCTTCCGATTTCGGTAGACACAAATTTTTCCAAGCTACCAAAGGCTTCTTAGCATCCCAAAGGAAGTTTCGACATAGTGTAATGATCCTCGAAGTGACTGTAGCAGGAATTGGAAAGATAGACAACCAAAAACACTCTACTACTTGAAGTACCGTCCGTAATAATTCTGCTCTTCCAGTGTATGAGAGTGAAGATGCTATCCAAGCACTCATGTAGGCTGAAATCTTGTCTAAAAGAGGTGCAAAATAGCTGACTTTTAGCTTTCCGGCAGCAAGCAAGATACTCAAATAACGAAACGGCATCAAACTTTTCGGAATACTTGTCAACTCTTGAATTTCTTCCAACTCGTGTCCCTGAATACCAATTGTAAATAAACTTGATTTCATGGTGTTCATTTGAAGTCTCGAAGAATCTCCAAATTTAGCCAAGCATTCCATTAAAATGCGAACTGATATAACATCCCCTCTTGCGAAAAGCATCAAATCATCAGCAAATGCAAGATGTGTAATCTTTAGTAGACCACATTTAGGGTGGAAATTAAACTCACTATTATCAGTTGCAACTTTCAACATTCTTGAGAAATATTCAAGACATAGCACAAACAAGAAGGGGGAGAGAGGATCTCCTTGCCGAAGTCCCATTCTGCCTCTAATGAAACTATGTAAACTACCATTTAATGCAATGGAGTATGAGGCGTAGTGATGCATTCCATTACCCAATCAATAAATCTTGGAGGGAAATTCAACCCAATAAGGATGTCTTTCAGGCAATCCCAACTTACCGAGTCATATGCTTTACGAAGATCAACTTTTAAAAGACATCTAGGAGAGACTCGCTTCAGATTATATTGTCTCAACAATTCTTGTGCAAGATGTATATTTTCCGTCATACTTCGTCCCTTGATGAATGCGGCCTGTGCATACTTTGTTTTATGGAAGAATTGTTCGAGACAAGGAAACAAATATTCACATATCGACTAGACTTGGGATATGGATAGTTTTGAATTGATAAAGAGATGGGACATGTACATCGAATTGAGATGAATTATTAGCTAGTAACTAGAGTAGTTGCATAATTCTTTCTTAGTCGGATTGCGACCTTTGTCTTTTAGAACCTTCTTCTAGTGCTGACAAAGTGGGTGGTAAAGACTCAAAAGAACCTATAAAACTAGCGACTCCCCATAAACCAGAAGAAGAAGAGGAAGAATAGTTCAATGCTATCCATGAAGAAATGGGCTATCCATGAAGACATGGGAGGAATAGAACTGGGCAAGGAGGTACTGAAGTAACATAAGTGGATTTTAGGTACAATTCATCATCTTTTCACTTCTTCTTTATATACTTTGAATACATGTTAGAACTTTAGTTGCTGCAGTTGCTTCAAAAGAAGACTGGAAGAGCTAGAAGAAGAGGAAGAATAGTTCAATGCTATCCATGAAGAAATGGGCTATCCATGAAGACATGGGAGGAATAGAACTGGGCAAGGAGGTACTGAAGTAACATAAGTGGATTTTAGGTACAATTCATCGTCTTTTCACTTCTTCTTTATATACTTTGAATACATGTTAGAACTTTAGTTGCTGCAGTTGCTTCAAAAGAAGACTGGAAGAGCTAAAGTACAAGTATGTTAATGTAATTGATGAAAAGAAATATGCAGCTTTAATAGATGTTTTCTTACATAGGATTTAAGAAAACAAACATGACGAAACATGTACTATGATTCCTGTCATAAAATTTGACAGTTTTTCACGCCGAAGGCTCGACTAGTGACAAGAATATAACATAGGAAATTGCTAAACAGTGCTATTATATACTATCATCTGGTAATTTTTGAATAGCTTTACTTGTCTTGGCTGTTACTAGAATTTAAGTGAGGCCCACAACTGAACAGATCCATTTTCTTGACTCTATTCCACAACCTGGAAGCTCTTGCACCTTCAACACCACCATCTTGATGCTTGAAGTCTTTCTTCACATTGGCAGCTGCACTTGCACGCACTTTAAAGCAGTCATCCAAACTCACCTGATCTTTAGTCTTGCCATTCGTTTTCTTACCCTTGTTCTTCTTTTCATCTTGTTTAACAAGTTGTTCATAATACTCTTTATTTCTCTTCTCCAATCCATATATCTGCCCCTGCAGATCTTCAATCTTTCGACTCAGCACGAATACCCTGTGATCCTCCCTCGTCTTCAATAGACACCTTGCTAGCTCGGCAGCCTTCCTCTTCATAAACAGAGATTCTGATACTAACCCTTTGTTTTCTTCTGCCAATGCAGACAATCTGTATCCCAACGTCGCATTATCGTTCAGTAGTATTGACCTTTCCGACTCGAGCACATCCAACAAGTTCTTCTGTAGCTCTATCTTCCTTTCTGATTCGCTAGACCTCTTCTCTGCAACACTAAGCTCGTTCGATAGAATCTCGTAGTCCACCAAGTTCATAACCATGTCGGCTAATAGCATTTCGACGTCCACTTTGGCTGGAAGTGGAAAAGGAAGCTGAAAAGATAATGTACTTGCTGTGTCCGAATCAATGACTTCCCCCGGGTCTCCCTGATCAGACCGTTCATTTTCATCGAAATTCGAGGGTGAAGAACGACTACTACGTCGATGAGTGTTCTTGGCAAGTGATTTGCAATAACGATCTGCCAAAGAGAGGTAGTCGTTGTACAAGTCTTGAAGCAATGCCAGCAGCTGAGGCCTTTGGTGATAGTAGGCATTGGCCCTTTCTGCAAAACTATCAGCACTGTCTTCTTTAGGGATTTTCGATATCAGCATCTTCATCCTCTCATCCAAATCTGAATAGCCCCACATTTTTAATTAGATGATAATCTTGGCTTTATTTGTATAATTTTGGAAATTTGAATTTTAACTAGAACACATTTTTTTCCCCAAATAATTAACGTTCATTATCATGAATGGACATGTCCTGGATATCAAACAGCAGTGGCAGAAATGGGCCCAATGTGACAAGGAAGTCAAATCGAACATGAAAATCAATGTTTGTGTGGAAAAAAATGCTCGTACAGATGAACAATCTTGTGACTTTTCCAACCGGTTAAAAAGGTAAAAACTTTGGCCTTATCTATCTAAATGGGTCGGGTATGTGACAGAAATGGGCTAAAAACAGCTTTATAGTTTGTATAAGAATGACATATTCGAATCAAATTGTTTCTGCAAAATCAGGGGGATGTGGTTTGGGAAAATGGTTCAAATTTTGAAACTAGAAAGGGGCAGTTGGAGGGAATTGGTCTTTGCAGGCTTTTTGAATTGAACTTTTCTGGGTCATACTTTCGAGTTGAAAGTGCCCAGAATAATCTGATGCACTCAAAGCCAAAAAGAGGAAAGCAGGGCAAGGTTTCATTTTCATTTTCTGGGGACCCACATTTCAATCAAATTCAAATCATGTATAGATTTTCATAGAATTACCATGCAGTAAAATATGTGATAAGAAAAAAGTAAATAATTTTTTACCAGCAATTGTGCAAAGAAGCCAGGATGGTATAATGAAACTTCCACGGCGTGACAGTGAATCAGAGGAGGCAGCCTCTGTACCACCATTTTTCTCTACCTTCTTCATTTTTGCTACCATTTTCGAAGACAAAACCGGACCTACAACACCAGAAAATTAATGCATGCATGCACCAAACTGACCTATCATAATTAATGCTATATAGTATATCCGTACAATAGATAATAATTAGTAAATTAGTCTTTTCAAATGGTGAAGGAGTAAGATTAGTATAAGTGCAAGTGCAAATATCAATAAATGATAGCGTCTGCAGTAGTTAATACTATACAATTATGATTAAGAACAGCATTGAAGAAGTTAATGAGACACAGCAAGTATAAAATATCACAGCATTCAATATTATTGAAAAAAATACTGCAAATTGCACAGAAGCTTATTTCATGTTTAATCTTGTTAGACGCCAAGTGCGTGTGCGTGTGCGTGTGTGTTCTTGGACAGTATTTTTTTCCAGAAAACAGGGGAATTCTGGTGAACAAAACAACCCTGAAATTCAACTAAAATCTTGGGGGAAAAACTGTGGACAGAAGTCTGAACGAAGAATGCAAAAGGATGCAGCTTGAATTCTTCAGTGATAAATTCATACCTTAACTTTTTTGGGAATCGGACTGGAAAAACACGCACAACACACAGTGCAGACTGCGGATGAGGTTTATATAGAAAGGATGAGAGGAGGATGTAAATTGCAAAGCAGGTTTGCTAAGACAGATTTGAGTTTCGGCAAATCCATAAATGACACGTACAAAAGTAATAGGCATGGCCTACTACTTTCGAATAGAGCCTAAAAATGAGCAGGCGTTGGGGTTTAAATGAAGATATGAAATAAAGGTGTCATTTTTTTATTTTTATTTATTATTATTATTATTTTTTTGTCATTTTTCATTATTGGTATCATGGTATGATGGACCGAGCTACATAGTCTGCACAGGTGATCGCAAGGTTGACATAATACACACATGGGGTCATGGTTATTTTATTCATGTGGGACCCACGTCAGCCATATGAAGGTGCGGACCGCGTGGCAGTGGTGGATTTAGTAGGTGGCCGCCCTAGCTGGATTCGTCGGGGAGAATTTTTTTTTGTTTGTAATAGATAAAAATTTTAGGTTATGTAATTGGTAACTTATTTTATTTTCAAACCTCTCTTCTACTTAGTTGGTTAGAGCTCCTTTTTATATATTGTGAGTCTTGGGTTCGATTCCTTCCCCTCCATTCCATTGTGTAAAATTTTTATTTCTACAATATTTATCAAAATTGATTTCCTAAAAAAAGAATTCGAACCTATAACTTTTAAAGTTAGGATGATTGGAAGCTTAACCATCATGGTAATGGTTGAATTTTAAATCTAAATTTAACAAATTAATATATGTTAAGATTTTACAAAAGATTTTTTTTTTTTTGGTTTTAAATATTTTATGCTTTAATAATTTATAAGATATGGTTTATGAGTATTGAGTTTTAATTTATATGTTATTTGAGAATTTGTCTACTGTGAATTGTGATATTAAAAATTAATTTGAGTATTGTGAAATGTGAATATGTGATTCATGAAAATAAAAAATGAGAAATTGGGAAATTTATAATTTGTGATGAATTGGTGTTGAGAATTGAGAATTGAAACTTTAATTATATTTTAAAATTAATTTTAATTACGTTTAATCTTTGATTAACGTTCAATTCTCATACTAATTATGGAATGATTTTTTCAACTGAATTTTAATTTAGTTCTTGTAGTGGTGTATCTAATCTCTCAACTACTTTTAGTCAAACAAACGATTTCTTAAGCATTGATAACACAAAGAAATTTTATGTATCATGTAATTTATATTATTTTGGATTGTATGGAAATATAATGTGATATAATATAAGATTTTTACGTTTTAGTATATTTACATATAGATTGAAAATTTTTTAATATTATTTAATTTAATATTAATAAACGATATCGCTATACGGCTTTTTAACTATCGACAGTCAACGGCTGTCCTAGCTGAGTTGAAATCCTGGATTCGCCACTGCCGTGTGGTCACCCGGAGTGTCAACGGTGCGAGGCGTTTGATTTTTTTCATGATTTAATTGTTTCAAGAACTTTAGATAATGTCAACGGCTGTCCTAGCTGAGTTGAAATCCTGGATTCGCCACTGCCGTGTGGTCACCCGGAGTGTCAACGGTGCGAGTCGTTTGATTTTTTTCATGATTTAATTGTTTCAAGAACTTTAGATAATGTCACTCGTACTGCAACTTGCTAAATTTTAAAAAATTGCACTCCATTAGTCGCTGGCAAACTTTTGTTTGATTGCATACGTGGATGACGGATTTCACATTTGGCAGTTAAATCACTCCAACACAATAATGAATTGCCAGCTCAAATTTCCCAAACACGCCTCTCCCATTTTCACCCCGAAATGGTCAATTTGGGGATGTAAGCCACCAAATTTTGAACCAAATATCTGTTCTATTGCTTCGATAAGTTGTCCATTTTTACACCTAGAACTATGTCAATCACACATCGCTTATCGATAATTCCTGTTTTCAAGAATTAGAATGCCAAAATATACAGTATGTTTGGATCAAATGTAACATAAATTCAATGTTTTATACATTATGGTTTTATGTGTTTGTTTTCCATTATCTCTTCAACCATTTTGAAACCAGCGTGCATTGGCAAACTTAGCAACAGCTGTTTCAGTTTCTTTTCATCCATTTCGAAACAAGATTACAAGGTTCAATCCCAACACGTAAAGCACGCACAGGTTTTGTGATATAACAGCAGCCCGACAAATCAGCACGCACACATGCCAAAAAGTTTCAGTTCCTTCAGTCAACTATTATTCCTGTGCGTTCTTCGAGAGTCTTCTTGTTCACAGCAGCGGACCCACATGGGGTCATGTGGGGTCAAATGACCCCACAAAATTTTGCCCTTACTTGGTTTTTTTTTTTTAATCTACTTTGATGTACTCGTCGAAATGTTAAATAAAATCAAAATATTTCATTCTTAATGTCATTTCGAAATGCTCATGATTTAGTTTTTCACTCATTAATGGCATGCGAAATGGTCAACTATAGCAAAAGTTATGACATGTTAAAGTAGGGCATTTGAAACTAGTATTTTGAGAATTTCGATAATATCCTAACTTTAAAAATTCGTTTGCGATCATATACTATCTGAATCCACAAATCCTCTATGTCATGTAAAAGTTTGTTTCGAAAACTACATTGTTTTCATATCGAATAGTTCAAATGGATATCGAAAATAGTTAAATATGTATCAAACGTACGCTTCAAAAAAGACGTCTAACTCGTTTTTTCTTTTAAAAAATTCAATTAATTATTATTTTTGCACGATAAATTTTTCAATATGATTTATATCATTTCATTGGGAAGTCAAACATGAAATATGACGTAAATTTTTTAGGGTCATTATGGATTAAATGCAATTTGTATTATTTTCGAATTATATTTGCTTTAAATTTGAATTTCATTTACTTCCTAAATTAAACTTAAATTTTATTTCAATTCATTTAATTTCTATATTCAATTTAATTTACTCAATATTAGCTCAACATTTGCCAATGAAATGATAAACAAAAGTATACCAATAGCAAAATTTATTTAATAATATTAATAATGATGTAATTATACGACGTTTTCAAAATGTCAAAATACATATAAACTTATTTTCATTGATATTATGTCGTTTTTAAAAAAAATTATTTTTAAAATTTTGACCCCACAATACTAAAGGTCTAGATCTGCCCCTGCTTGTTCATGCCCTTTCGGCTCCCAACCTCGAATAAATTGTGATTAGAAGCTTAAGCCTGCAGGCACTTCAATTTGTTAGTGAAGCAGTAACTTTAATCTATGATGCGAAGCATAATGCTGCAGATATACAATGAAATCCATATCAATGATAACTTCTGTTACGTGTTGACACACTTGGCCGACCCACTGGGGTCCATGGTCCACTTCTGTTGAACCACGTGGCATCTTATCCGAGGCCCCCAGGCCAACAGGAGTTTACCAACATACTATAACAACGTTAGACGTGGTCCAAGTGCCGCCACTGAAGCTAATATGCCAAGGAGATCTTATATCCGAGGTCCCAAGACTCTAAGTAGCATTCCTCTCCAGAGATCCGGTCTTACACAAGGATCCTTCTTGAGTAATTGATGGGACACCCATCATAGAGTGCAAATGTTTTGTCTTATCAATGTAATGGCAGTGTCGCAGATTAATAAATGTATACAAAGTTAGGAAGTCAAATGTGACACCTATAATTTGACATGTAGACTTAGGAGATGAGGCCATATGTACTCCCAATCAAGTGCCACGATTTAAGTTATAATACTATAAATATTCCCCCCATGCATCTCCCACAAGGGTAATGCAAGATTCAACACAAGAACAAATATAACATTCTCTACATTTTACTCTCTTGCAACATACATGAATTCATACTCGCATTCTACAAAGATCGATTGATAATTATTGTACAATCATTATGCAAACTGTTGGGTTTTTGATACCCAATAATTCCGGGCGATGATGTTAAACAGTGTCAGATAGTCGGATTAGATTTCATAGGCTTTGGCCGATGATTGAAATATTTATTAACACACTCGATTAATTTGCTCAACCCGAAAAACAACTTGAGGGTCGTTTGAAGCAATTTAATATAGTTAATGTTGCTCATGGCCCATTTACTTCTTGGATGACTCAATTTGTGTTCTGCCCCCTTTAACCATTAGTTGGTCCATGAGTCCATTATATTATTACACCCTAAACCTATATATTGCTCTCATTTGTTGAAAGAGCCTTGTGTGTGCAATTGAAAAGAGGCAGCCTACATTTTTCTCTAGTTTTCTTTTTTGAGCTTTAAACTGAATCTGTCTTCCTCTATTCTTTGTGATTCATTGCAGCCACCATATTGTGTTCTTTGTGAACACATTGAGTTGAACAACCGAAGTAAGAAATCGTTGTTTGGGTTGGAGCCTTTGTTGGGTGTGTTTAATAAGATAGAGATTGGTTAAACGGAGCCCGGAAAATCCACCATTGGAGGTCGATTATTCAACATTTGGTACCAGAGCGAGGTTGGGGTGGAATTTTCAGCCAAAATCAGACCAAAAAACCAGCAAAAATCAGAAAATAAAAACTGTCCAGAATTTTTTCCTAAAAATCGAATCTGCAACTTCGATTTTCGGCAAATCCAGACGTCTTTTGGTGAAATAGAGGCCGGATTCATGATCTGCAGGTGGAGGCGGTGCTAGGTGGCCGATATGTCTGGGCGACGGCGACGGCGCATGGCTTCTCCGGCAGCGGCGCGTGTGGGTGCGTGGGGCCGATTTTGGGGAAGGTGTCTTCAGTCAGTTTGTTCCTCATATTATTTCTAACATTTTTCGTGTTAGAAGTTTTCTGTTTCAGGTTACACAGAAAAAATTAGACGATTTTGCCCCTGAAAATCGAACTGCATTTCTTGACGGGCTGCACGGTTATATTTGCTGAATCTTTAACACGAATAGTGGTGGTCCTAAAGCAGCAGATTCGCATCTCTCTCGACTATACGGACTCAAACACGTCCGGTCTGGTAAATTGGCTTAACCCGTTAATTTCAGCATTAGCGCGTCACCGTATGGGGTGACAGTAGGTTGGGGGTTGTCATTGCTTGGCAACCATTGCTTGTGCTAGAAATTAGGATTACTTGCTCTTAATTGTTGCGATTGAGTCCTTATTTTTGGATAAATTAGCGTATTGTGTTTTGTGCTAAAATT